TATATAAAATTAATCATTTTAAAAATAAATAAATAAATAATAGTAAAGTTAACAATTTAATTCGTAAAATACGGATAATAAACGTTTTATACGTGTTTAGTACGGGAGCCATCAAATGAACGGGGAAAAATGAAACGGCTTAACAATAATACGGATACGGAAGTTTTAAACGGATAAAGTACATACGGGTACATATACGTATATTAAACAGAGTATTTACTAATTATGGGCATGCCTACTACTGTGGGAATAGGGATGGCAATGGGTCGGGTTGGGTCGGGTTTTGCCAAACCCAAACCCAAATCCATAGGTTTATCCGTGAAAAAACCCCGGGGTAAAACCCACTGGGTTTGAAACCTCAAACCCAACCCAACCCGCTGGGTATCCGCGGGTTAATGGGTACCCACGGGTTTTTGTCGTAAAAAATTTACAATAACAAGTTACTATCAAAATTAAAGTCAAATATCAATTTCTCAATACAAATTATCCATATTTAAAACATCATTCTAGAAAATTCAAGCAAATCACAAATTAACTATACAAATTGTTCAACATCAATCTAGAAAACTCAAGAAAATTGAAGTAAATTATAAATTATCCATAAATAACATGATTAATTGAAGGCTTCTTCCTTTCAATTAAGTTTCTTCACTCTCCACTCGATAACACTAACTTCATTCTACACAATTAGAAAGAAAAAATTAGACATGTCTCCACAAACATACATAAGATTAGTTATTTAAAATATTAAATATACCGAGAAAATTAATCATATGGGTGTGGGCGGGTACCCATGGGTCGCGTTTACCTAAACCCAAACCCAACCCAACCCGGTGAATAGTGAATGGATTTAAACCCAAATCCGGCCCAAAACTCGTCAACACGGATTTTACCCGCGTTAACCGGGTTGGGTTGGGTGGTACCCGTGGGTTTGTGTTTTGTTGCCATCCCTATGTGGGAAGGCAGAAAAGGCCACCTTTAAAATCCTCATAGACAAGGTGATGAAGAAAATCAAGTTATGGAAAAGTCATTCACTATCAATAGCTGCTAAAGAAGTCCTACTTAAAGCGGTAGCCCAAGCTCAAGCTACCTACACTATGTCGGTTTTCCTAGTCCCACGGGGAGTGCTAGAGGAAATCAGAAAGGTCATATCAAATTTCTGGAGGGGACAACAAAAAGAGGAGAAAAGGATACCATGGAAAGCTTGGAAAAAGGTGTGTAGACCAAAAGAAGAGGGTGGCATGGGGTTTAAGGACCTAAGAGTTTTCAACCTCGCGTTGTTAGGGAAACAAATTTGGAACTTATCTCAATCCAGATTCACTAGCAGCCAGGGTCCTAAAATCAAAATACTACCCGAATCAAGATGTGCTACATGCCAATCTGGGAGTAAACCCGAGCTATACTTGGAGGAGTATAATGGATGCTCAACAACTAGTAAGGAAGGGAACAAGGTGGCGGATTGGGGATGATACACATGTTAATATATGGACGGATGGATAGGTAGCAGGAGCAGAGGACACAGGGTTCAAAGTCACCTCTCCAAGCCCACAGACGATGAAATAGTACGAGTGGCTGAACTTATTGACCATGAGACTAGGTAGTGGAAAAAACCATTACTTCAGCATCTGTTCAATCCAACTGACAGAGCAAGAATTGAATGAATCCTACTATCTCGTAACCAACTAGAGATGAAGAGGTATGGGCACATGAGAAAATTGGGATGTACTCTGTCAGAACTACTTACAGACTCTTCTATGGGGAAATGACAAAAGACCCTACTATTATTGAGGATGAGGATGCTGAAGAAGGGGAAGAGTTGACAGAGATGGAAGGAAACATTGATACATATGATCCCATGAACTGGAAACGTATCTGGAAGCTTGTGATTCCTCACAAGATCAAGATATTCCTCTGGAAATTCATCCACAATATTCTACCAAAGGGTAAGAACATCGAGCTTCGAAAAAAAGATGCACCTACTGATTGTTCCTTCTGCAATCTAGAGGAGACACAAAATCACATATTTAGAGAATGTCAGTGGGCATCTAGGGTTTGGCGTCCTACAAGTTCCAGACCACTGTTTGAATTAAAACCTACACTTTCCACTGGAAGTTGGTTCTGTGAAGTCATGGAGAAAGTAGATGATGATACACTTGGGCAGATGGGAATGATCTTATGGGCGATTTGGACTGAACGAAACAACCATATGTTCAGCAACAAAAAGGCGTTGCAAGAGGAAATTGTGGGAAAGCCCTAGACTACTGGGAGGAATTCAATTCTTATCACTCTAAGGAAGCTGAAGAACCAAACAGAGTCAGACTTACCTGGGAATCGCTGACGACAGGGTGGATTAAGCTAAATGTTGATGCATCGGTCTTCAAGAACGAAGGAACTGGCTATGGGGTGATAGCTCGTGATGTTGGAGGTAACATTTTGATGGCTGATGTTTGTAGGGAGAGAACTCGATGGTCTCCGGAGCTGACGGAAATTAAGGCGATTGCATTTGGACTTTAGCAAGCGGAGAAGCATGGGTTCACCTCCTTCATCGTTGAGACGGATTGTCAGAGCGCATTTCTAGCTCTGCAAAAGGCGAATGTGACGAGGCTAGAAGCTGGCTTTCTGATACAAGAGTTGCAATCAGATGCTGCCCAATTGGGCTCGGTGAAATGGCAATTCACTAAGAGGGATTGCAACGGTGTGGCCCACTTGCTGGCCCATACCCAATGTAATTGGGACTATAGGAACAATGGGTTTCCCGTCCTCCAGTTTTTCTCCTTGATTTTCTGGATTTTGAGTCCATGAGGCATTAATAATATATAGATTTTACCTTCAAAAAAAACTTATAGGATTTTTTAACGGAAGATTAACACTCATTTGACAACAAGGATGACAACAGATAAATATTTATATTAGAAGGACTATGTTAAGAAAACAATAGTATATATATCATGATAATAAAACCTTCATAGTTTAGTGACCCAATATGCAATTAACCAAAAAAACAAAAACCTTGACGACTTGACCCCTTAAAAACGGTACCAATGTGCTTGCAGCCAAAACCCCTAGGGGTGGTCAAATGGTGTGGTTACTGTGGTAACCGTTTTAACCGATACTATTTGGATAATTGGTTTGGTTTGATTAAAGTTTTTAGCTTGTTTGGTTTGGTTTCAGACACTCCTAACCAGCCAAACCAAATTAACTAGATAAATAATTAGCCATATATCTAATATATACACATACTTAATACTTTGAATAACCACTCAAGAGTTAAACGTTCATCCTTTTAGACTCATAAAATATGAAGCTTGATATTGTTCCTATAATGTATATTTGTATATGTAGAGTGTAGACCACAATGTATGAACGTCTAATTTAGATAAATCTCATACATTATGTTGGATGAAAACTTGAAAGTAAGGTCATTTTCAGCCTATGAAAATTGCTAAGAGACTAAGCCAATTCACACAAACACAACAATTTATTAACCCATACCATTGTGATAAATTTTTGTTAGGTGAATACTTCTATACTAACCGTAAGATAATTGTCTTACTTGCATGTATTTATGTTAAGGGTCAACTATAACTATGTGTTTATTGTTATGTTTTATTCACTATATAAATTGTGTATTGAGAGATTTAGGGCTAGTAATCGGTCGGTAACCGGTTAACGGTATACCGAGTCACGGTGAGTGGCTGCCGACTACCGATACCGGGTTCCTACCGGTTAACCGGCTAGGTGGTTACCGGTTACCAAGCCGGTATACCGGAAATAACCGCACACGAGAGAGTCTTGCGATGGGTCACTCTTCCGAAGGTCTGCCTCCCGTCCTCCGCCCTCTCTGGCCTTTCTGCCAGCAAAACCTTCTGATTCCGAACTCTCCCTTCTACTGGTGTTCGTGGATCCACCTGCTCGGCATCCATTGCATGTCTATTTCTACATGTAATTCCCTAATTTTCTGTACCAATGCTTTGATTGATATATGGTAAGGTTGAATTAGAATGGAGGAGAAGGATTATGAAATCAAAATTGGTGTATTTTTCAGGCTTGTCGTCGTTCTCCTCTCGAAACCTCTTCGACGACTCAATCGGATATCAGACATGTCCCCGCCATAATCGCCCTCGCCGCTAGAAGGGGGCTGGCCAAGACGAGGAATATCGATAGTGAGCTTTACCAGATATGGAATCGAGACGGAGTGAGAACCACCGCGGGAGGGAGACAACAACACACCAAATCTCACCTCGAGAGGAAGAGAGAGCCACCGCGCGAGGGATTTGCATGGTGCTGGATCTGGAATCAAGAGGGAGAGGGATTCGCCGGATCGGGTTCTGGGTTCGAGAGGGAGAAGGAGTCATCGGATTGAGTTCTTGGTCTCCACAACGGCAGCGGCGGCGGCGACAGAGGAGTCCAGAAAGGCGGTGGCTAGGCGAGCAACAAATCTATTGCTCCTGCCCTCTCTCCGGTGACGACATGGTCCATATCAACAAATCGAGAAAGAGATGAGGGGATTTCATATAATCTCTCATGGTGAAGGTTCTGTTTGTGGAGGAAAGAGAGAATTTTTTTGAGGGAGATGGAGAGAGAGGAGCAAACATGGTAGAGGAAGAGGAGTGAACTGATCGACAGGGGAGGGTTTTTCCCTATATCGGTATACTCGGTTATACCACTGGGAAACCCAAACTATTAACTTTGTGTCATTTGTGTCCTACAGTATTCGATACGACATTTGTGTCACAACGTATGATAGTTGTGTGTCATTTATGTCCTAACGATTTCGTTGACCATTATAGATAACGGTTGACCAAACGGACATCACAGATTTGCTGACGTGGCAAAACAATAGATGCCATGTAGATGCCACATCATTAAATATTATTTTTTTATTAAAATCTTAATTTTTAAAAAAAATAAAAAAGTAAAAGAAATCGGCCTAGCTACCTCCGTCCGCCTCTGTTCTTCAGTCCTCAACCAAAAGCGGCCCAGCCACCGGAGAAGACGATTCATCTCCGACTCTGTTCTTTGAAAATCGCGGCGTTGCCAACGGGAACTGTCAAATCCGGAAAGCTAAATCCGTCCTGTGAAACGCACATCCAACCTTTGATTTGCGCCATCCAATCCTGCAATCCGCCGCCAATTGGAGCCTCCAGCGACACCGCCGACTTCTCCTTCTCAGCGAAATCGAAGCCCCAATTCTCGGCGAGCTCGAGCGCAGAGGGGCAGCCGGAGAAGCCATCGAGGGAAGCGCGGTCGTGAGAGGAGGAGCAACTGCCGTGAGCGTCATAGTCGCACTCCTGGCAGAGGACCAGATTATCGGTGGCGCAACGGACGGAGACCGGCTCGGAGCTGCAGTTGTCGCAGATCTGGGAGTGGATGTGCTTCCGGGAGAGGAGGTTAGCGGAGCGGACGTGCTGGTCGCAGAACAAGCAGAGCTTTGCCGAGTCGGCTCGGCAGTAGAGAACGGCAAGCTGGTCGCTGCAGAAATCGCACGGGACTCCGTCGGCGCCGTGGCCCTTGCTGTCTGGTTTCCGACCCGCCATTTTTGCCGCGGAGATGAGAGCTTCGGAGAAAGGGTAGAGGAAAGAAGAAGGAGATTAGACTTTTTGGTGTCGGGGACTAAGGAGAGAATGGGAAATATCCAATTAGTTTTTTTTTTGGAATTTTGGAATTTTAATTTTTTATATGGAAAATCATAATAAATTAATATTATATATTCCACTTCAGATGCCACATCAGTGCTGACTAGACTTTCTGTTAAAAACTAACAGTCAATGCCGGTCAACTCTAACGGAAGAATAGTTTAGGACACAAATGTCGTATCGAATACTTTAGGACACAAATGACACAAAGTTAATAGTTCGGGTTTCCTAATGGTATTAGCCCTATTTTTTAATATTTTTTTCTCTTTTAATCCACGTAGATTGGTGGTGTCATTACAATGCCAACTAAACATTCTTCGTCAATCAGTCATCTTGTTAGCTGACGAAGTTAATAATTGTGGCTATATTTGTCACAAACCTGAAAATTATAACTATGGAAGTATAGTTTGCCTAAAACAAACACCAAAACCCGTAAAATAACGCTAACCCTACTTAAATCCTTCTTAGCCATCCAACCCCTTATGTGACTAATAATAATAAAAATATATTTTAAATAAACAGGGTGGCGTCTTCAGTGCACTCACTTTTTGGGTGCATTCAGTGCACTCACTTTATAACCGTCATTTTAAACATGTGATTCATGTCAAAATGATGTCAATCATCACTTATGATGTGATGAACAATGAAGCCCATGAATTTGCACAAAAACCATTCAAGATTTACTTTAATTTGAAGGGTTTAGAGATTAGAGATTTAGGGTTAGGTTTAGGGTTTACAGTTAGAGGTTTAGGGATAGAACTCAAAATTGGAGGTCTAGGCTTAGGATAATCCGCTAATTAGTTGTTATCATATGTTATATCATCATATTACACTAATTCTATAAATTAAAATTCAAAATACGACACCTTAAGACTAGTTTTTGAGTTGGGTGCATTGAACGCACTCATTTCTGTGAGTGCACCGAAGTAGGCACCTAATAAACATGTTTATGTCAAATACCATATATATTGTCTTCTACGGTATCCCGAGTGAAATCTGGGGTTTCGCATACCTTGAGTATGAAACACTATTTAAACCTTGAATTAGCAGAGTTTTTGGGCATGATACTATACCCTAACCCTTAATGAGTGAACCCTAGGTCCTAATTATCTAAATCATAAACTATAAACCCTAAGATGGTGCATTAATTTTTTTGCCTATATTTGGACGAATAATAACGGTCAATTATTATTTCTAATTAAATTGATCTTAGGGTATAGATTTAGAGAATTAAGACCTAGATTTTGATTTTTAAGAGTTAGAGTATAGTATAATGTCTAAAAGATCAGTCAATTCAAATTATGCATATCATTTTCTTACTCAATTTATGCGGTACCTCGAATTCTGGGTATCGAAAAACTCCCCGTAAATAGTTTAGCCAAATAAAAAATCTACAATTTTTATAAAAATACCAAATGAGCTAATTGTTAACAAATAACATATCTCAGTAAACAATTCAGCCAATCGACACCTAATTGTGCTACCACTTTTGGTAAGTGCTCTCTGGACCAACATCCTACGACATTAACATTATTAAAATGAAGCTAAACCAAGATTTGGTGCTTCTTGGACTGTCTGGAAACAGAAGTTGTTTAAACTTTAAACCCTTTAGTCTTCCACGCTAAACAAACCCCAAATCCAGCTCCAAAGTTGCACACTTTCTTCATTGAACACACCAATATGAGCCTTCTCCTCTACTTCATTTCATTTCATGGGATATACATATAATAGTAACATAACCCCAAATACAGAAACAAGATAGATCAGGAAGAATAACTTCAGTCTCTTTTAGTTGTTCCTTGAAGATGATGAGAGTACAGTAAAATGGATAAGAACAAAAGGGATATGATTGGAGGAGGTGACATCTCATATAACAAATTGCAGTCCCTTAAAACAAAATTTTGATTAGCCTTTTTATTATTTAGAGATAGAGATCTCGACAAATAGGTGACAGTATGGAGGATTGCTGTTTTCTTCTTCTGGGTATTTATTGCCCACCTCCCCCATATTCATTACAGTTGACCCTTTCATCTCATCTCTCTGATTTAGCTTTGCTAGCTAGCTAGCTAGCTGCCACTACCATTGAAGTTCACCCTCTTTTTTCTTTTCTTTTGGAATTATACAACAAACAAATGCCAATCTATCTTCTTTTCCTGATAAGAATCTTCAAAGGGCAAAAAAAAAAAAAATACCCCAATCCAAAGGCAATCCCCAAATCTCAGATCACCCATCAAAATATAAACAATGGCAATTTAATTAGCAGGCATTAACACCATAACATAAATGATAGAAGTAGAACACCTTTAAAGTTGATACAACAAAAGGATCATTAGTTGAACATTTTGTTCCTTAACTCTCTAATCCCTCTCTCATCACCATTAGCAATTAGTTTTACTCATCACTAATTAAGGAGCTGAAACAAAGCAGGTAGCCCAAAATTAAGCCCCACATCAACAACAACAACAGCAACAACAAACACAAAAGTAAACCAACCCATTAGAGACTAGCTACCTACCTTGAACAATTTCCAAGTGAAAATCTACAGATCTTCAATACGAAGGAGAAGACCTAGGAGCAGCAGTAGCAGCAGCAGCAGAAGGGCCATGGAGATGAACTTTGCTCTCAAAGACGTTAGTGTCAAATCTAACCCTACCCTCGTAGTTACCACCATCTCCAATGGTACCATTAAGATCGTACTTAACGCTAACAACATGATGATTACCATTATCATCATCTTCCTCTTCTTCTTCATCATCTTCTTCTTCATCCCCATCATCATCAAAATGCTCATGCTCATGCCCAATGTTGCCATTCCCACCACCACCACCGCTGTTGCTGTTGTTGTTGTGGTGGTTGTGGTTGTTTCCATTACTGCCCTTATCCTTCCTGTGTTTGTTGTTATGCATCCAGACCTTGAACACGTTCCTCCGAACCCCGATCTGGCTGCAGAAATCACCCACAATCTTGTCCTCTTTCCCCCTCAGCATCTTCCACCCTAATTTCTCCGCAAAATCCTGCATCCTCGCTTTCTGCTCCGGCGTAAATCTGGTCCTCGCCCTTTTCCTCAGCGAACCCATTTCCCCCAGATTCACGTTCTGAACCGCCTGATTCCGATAGTGGGGGTTCGAATCGCCAGGGCAGAGAGGCTCGCCGGCGGCGGAGCTGAGGGCGAGGAGCATCTGGGGTGCGGAAGGGTAGACGGAGTGATGGGGAGTTGGGGAAGCGGCGGCGGCGGGGGGAGACGGAGTCGGGCTCGGCGCGCCGCCCGAACTGGTCTGACCCGGGCTGGGGCTGGAGGAGTGGTGGTGGTGGTGGGTGGTCCACTGAAGAGCAGGGAGCTGGATGTGGTGGTGGCCGGAGGAAGGGTGGCGGCGGTGGAAATTGCGGTGGCAGCCGCAGGCGGCGCATTTGAGGGAGGTGGGGTGGAGAGGGGAAGCATCTGGTGCGGGCATGAACTCGCCGCAGCCGTCCAGAGCAAGGCCGCCCATGGAGGCGGCGTGGTTCTTGAGGCATTCTCGGTAAGAGACGATCATGGTCTGGCGGTGGCGGAGGAGGCGACGGCGTTGGAGAGTTTTTTGCGGGTGCGGCAGCGGATGTTTGCAGGAGGGAGAGTTGATGATGGTGCTTAAAGGGTGGATAAGAAGAATAAAAGGAAATCTTTAGGTCGACGAGCGAGGGGGAAAAAAGGTCTAAATCTTTTTGTAAGTGAATAAATTAATGTGTCAAGTTATTTAATTGGTGATTAAGGGGCGGCCCGTCAGAGTGTTAATGTCGTAATTAATGATGAGTGGTTTAATTAGGGAAAAAGACAAAGAAGAAGAAGGAGGAGGAGGAGGAGGGGAAGGTTGATTGTGATTAGGCGTTGGGAGGGGACACTTGGTGGGGAAGTGTTGATTTGAGGGGCCACGTATGTGTTAATTTGGGATTATACCCACTACACGTGTTTTGCAAACAGCAGCAGTGGGAGCTTGAATTGGAAGTCGAAACCCTCTAATTTCATTTCTGCCACACGCCATGTTTTTTTGTTTCTTTAACCCAACTCTTCCTTCTTTGGTTTTATGTTTTTTTTTTCCATTGTACTTATGATAATAATTGACTTGTTGCATTTTCATTTACTTTGTTAATTAATAGACTCGTTTGTGTGTTTGGGCAGTGGTCTATACTTTTTAGCTTATTATTCATGGGCAACGATTCGATTCACATCGAATCAATCCATATTTGAACTGAATAGAAGCGTAACTCAGTTTTGGACTTATGAATTATTTATTAAAAATATGGTTGGAGATTGAATTTGGACCGAACTAAATCAAACCAAATGAACCCAACATGCTTTGGATATGTTCTAATCCTCAAATTTTCTTTGTTTTTGGTAAGATCCTATCTCAACCGATCCGGTTCTTAACCGAATTGATCGATACTCATCCCAGTTACAACACCAACACATACATATTCTTGGAAACTTACGACGATACTTCATGGTGGTTTTGAAATTCATTTTAATTGGTATCAAGTGTGTGGATCTTGAGGGGGTAATTAACAAATCCTCTCTTACATTACATAACAAGATAGCTTCACCTGCATACTACCTCACTTTTTTTTTTAAATAGTTCAAAATGGTCAGGCCAACCAGAAATGATACAAGCAAAAAGTTACAAGGGTTAGAAGACCCAAACAAAAAAGCCTAAAATACAATCTGGAACCCAATGGGACCAAGGACAAAAGCATTGTCAAAGTCCTGCAAACGCTAGCCGCCTTTTGCATCCCTCTAAGATCCTCCACCGCAGCGGCCGAACCTCAACCGACACTTGATGTGCATGCACCGCCAACCCCCACCAGCCACTGCCACCACGCGCCAAGGAGGGATCTGATTCAGCCGAAATCGGATGGTGGGATGAGGAAGGACACCTTCCATGCTAACCACCCTGAGCCAAATCGACATCCGCCTTTCGTCAAACCAACACAAGGGAAACTATCAAAATGACCCAGCGAAGGAATCAGAGGGACGAAATCATCTGCCTTCAAGCTCTCCAGATTGTGTCCTCGCCAAAGGATGCATCTCTGAATCACCAAGCTCTGCAAAGTGAAACAAGGAGGTAAGAAAAGGAAAGAAGAGGAGAAAACAAGCCAGATCTATGAAAGATCTAGCCTCCATTTTGCATCTAAGATCGGACACATCTCCAGATATGAAACAACAGATCGGAGATCAAAAGATCAACCCATTAAAGGGGAGGAAGAAATCCTAGCAACGGGAAAGAAAAGCACTAGAAGGGCAGAAGCCATAGCAAAAGAAAAGAGAAGAGAACCGACGAAAAGTAATGAGAGGACAAAACAAAAGAAGAACATGAAAAAACGAAACGAAAAGGGAAAGAGGCTACCACTGGTCGCTTAAGGAACGCCGACGGCAGTCCCAACACCATCTGAAAATTGGTTTCTGCTTTCTAAAGAGAACTCAAAGAAAATAACGAGAGGAGTCACACCCCTAATGGGATTGCCTGCTAACTATACTCAAAATCCAGTAATTACATAACATAGTGCATCTATGATGAGCTTAGTTAACAGCTTGATGGTGCTAATATCCCTCCCACTCATACATAACGGTGACAATTGTGTGGGTTCGGGCAGGTTCTGTTTGGATTCAATAAGGTTATGGGTTAGTTGAGTTTTGGGTTCATAGGCTTCCAGGTCAGTCGAGTTCGAGTTTATCTGTTTTAGGTCATTCGGGCTATGGGTTGATTGGGTTATGGGTCAGCCTGGTTGCGGTTCATCGGTGTAGGTCAAACAGGTTTCAGGTTCATCGGGTTACGGATCAGGCGGGTTGCAGGTCGTTCAGGTCAACATATTGTGTTACTTACTCTTTACTCCGTAATTCCAAACACTTTTTCGCAATTTCTAAAAAATTTATTTTTACCTCATATATGTACTTATAAAAGTTATTTGGTAGAAGCACTAACAAAAGTATAAAAAAGAACTTGGCAAAGTGCTTAACTAATTTTATATCCTTTTAATGATTGGGTTATTACAATCGTATGACTCAACTTACCAAAATTAGCTCTCATTTTGAAACCAATATGCAACTCGATCACAACTTAAATGGGCCATATCGCTTCATCGTTGTAAAACAACGATAATATAACGTAGATGTTGCAACAAAAGTAAAAGCATAGAAAAAAGTACAATCGTTAAGTGAAGTTTTTTAATTTAGTTATTAAATCCAAAAACAATCCTAAACATAGGAGCACTTCTACTATGCTATATAGCATTGGTGCTTTAATGTACAACTCAAAGTTGTACCATAACATTAAATGTATAAGTTTAGGTTGTACCATAAAACAATTTGTACCATTATGTTATGGTACAACTTTACAACTTGAAGTTGTACCATCACATAAAGGTACAAGTTCAAGTTGTACCATAAAAGAATTTGTACAAAAAGTATAGGTACAATCTAAAGTTGTACCATAAAGGCAAAAACCTATAGCACCAATACTATATAACATTGTAAAATTTCTCCTAAACATGTATCTTAAACTTCAAATTATATAACATCATACCCTAAAACTAATCAAATTAGTTCATATACCTCGATAAGTACGTTGTTTATCAGAAGTTGTTAAATTGGTTCGTATAATGGGTGCTAGGTTATGTGTACCATAAAGTAAGCGATTGCTTTATTATGATAAGATGACTCGTGATAGGTTCTCAAATACATCATATCCAATTAGTCATGCCCTATAAAGCTATAACCAGGTTTACTACAAACAATGTCTTAGTTACTAAAGGATAAACACTTAACTCATAATCTATAAAGATTGTGATAATTACATTAATAAATAATTAAGTATATTATCTATAATGTAAAATAGCATGCATTTGTGATTGTTCGAGTGACGTTATTGAGATTGGATCATGATATGTCCCAAATCTACCATATCCAATTAGTCATGTGACTCATGTCCTATAAGGCTGTTATAAGATTTACTATAGACAATATCTTAGTCACTAAATGTTAAAGTTCAAAACCTTCACATGTAAACATTGTGATAAGGAAATTGATAAGTAATTAAGTATATGATTTATAGGTAATGACTGGCGTACGTCAGGCGTATACCATACGTCAGGTGATCTAGCCATTAGATGTACTTAGATGAGCTCCGACCGATCTCAACGGTCAATTTTTGTTTCTCATTAAATCAAACTTTAGGTTGGGGTTAAGGAAATCAGTGACTGGGGTTTATCCATTAGAGGTTAGGGTATAGTATCATACCACAAACTCGATTTAATTCATGGTCTAGATAGAGATATCTCACTAGTAGTACCTGACGTATAGTATACGCCTGACGTACGCCAGTCTGACCCTTTATTCACAATGTAAAGTAATATGCATTTGAGATAGTTCAAGTAATATTATATTGAAGATGAGATAATTCATGATAGGTTCTCAAATATAATATAGTCAATTAGTTATTCCATATAAGGCTATAATATAGTCAATTAGTCATGTCTCTCATAGAAATTAAAGATTCATATTTGAAAGACTAAAACTTTGAAATACTTAAAAGTTGAAAGCACAAAAAAACTTCTTATTTCTTTGCACAAAATATTGAAAACACAAAATGTTCTCCTTCTTTCTCTTTCCATATATAAAAAAGCAAAATTTTCAACTTCTTTGTCTTGTCATAAATCAAAAGCACTAAAATTCCACCTTTCTTTTTCCAAAAATGGAAGCACCAACATTTTCTCTTCCTTTTCTTTTCAAAAAGTTAAAACATTAAAATTTCACACTTTTTTTAAAATAATCAAGTTATCAAATTTTGAATCCAATAGTGAATCAAGCAACAATGCACAAAGGAAGCATAGCAAGAGATTTCTCGGTAGGGTCGAAAAACTAAGGATTTCAAAATCCGCCACCGTCAAGCCCTTTCGAATGCTCGTTGTTCATCGTTAGTCGGTGTCGCCCCGTTCTCTCTCTACACTAGCTCTGAATGAACATCGCCAAGAAAAGGCAAATCTTCCTAAATCTGTCGAATACATGCCCAGTTACCCAATAGGGGTTTGAATAGGGAGAGGAATCGACGATAAATGGGTTACGAAAGGATGTGGATCTGATTTGATTTTTGGGGGTCGTTTGGATGCGGAATTTTAATTTGAGAAATTTGAGAGTGATTTGAGCTCAAATCACTCACCCGAAAACCCAGGTAATTTAAATGAGTGATTTGGCTTAAATTATTGTTTGGATGGGAATGCAGGAATTTAAAGGGATGGCCTAAAAGTACATTTTTATCACTCTTATTCAATAGGTGTTCTTTCCCTATGTTTGTGTTCTTCGTCTCTGCTTCCTTACTCGTTCTTTCTTCTTCCTCTTCCATCATCAATATTATGTACAGATGGATAATTGCAAATCAAAGAATCACACAAACAATTAATTAAAGTTGCTGGAAAGTTACTAATACAAAATGTATATAGTGCAATGAACCAACAAGAGATCAATGAATAGTATCAACTTGATGTTAAACAAACATGAACCCAGAAACCTAAAAATTGCAGACCAAAAATTATATTCTAAGTAAACAATTGGAAAGCAAAACCCAAAAATCACATATACCCATCAAGCAAGGGAAAGCCAATCCCATATTCCCTGACCGCCTCCTCGTTGCAACAGGGCAGGACCGGCAATGGATTGCAAGTACCTCGAGTTCGATTCGAATGGGATCGGCGTCAAGATTCAAACTTCGACTGTGATTCGACCTCCGCGTTTCAACCTAGGAATCCAGATTCGTCCTTTGTGCTCGACCTAGAACCCAGAGCAAGAAGATGGCTTCGATGTCGCATAGTAGAGGTAGTCGACAACCCACTTTAGAACCCAGATTCCCTTTTTCTTTATGCCAACAGATCCAACGAAATCACGAAGGATGGGACGAGTGATCGATTTGGCGAGACGAGAGTGGGCGGGGACAAGAACGGGCGACGACAGGGACGACGAGTGGAGTGGGCGAATCTCCTCCGCCGCCAAATTCGGAGGAGGATGAACAGAAGGACAAAGAGGGTGGGTGAAGAGTGGATGAAGGATAGAAGGAGGATAAGTTTGGAACAAATAAAAAAATAATGAGGGATTTCAAAATAGTTGATCCTCATTAGCTATTCTGAAATCCCACATGTGTGGGTTTTTAAAATCTCTAATAGTTACAATCCCTAATTTGTATAACCCTTTCCAAACGTGTTATTTGATTAAAATCCCTCATAGTGTGGGATTGTTTTAAAATCCTGCATCACAATCCTGCCGCATTCCTCCATCCAAACGAATTTGTGATGGCCGTCAAATGGAGTAGGGTTGACCAACGAATGGAGTAGGGGGTTTGGAGACAATGTCCAATTAGATTTTATTTATTTGTTTTAGTATTTAAATTTTGTATTGTAAATCCAAGGTGGCAAGTCAAGACAAAAAATGTCATCACATCACCCTTTTAATAATGCATTTGTCACAATGCCTTTAAAATTATTGACGGAATGACCATATTTTTTTTTCTTTCAAAAGTGGACTATTATTATTAGTAGTATTAACACAAAGTGTAAAATAATTACTATCCAAATGGATTTTTCCTTCTTTTTATCCAACATCGTATATAGTTTGTGATGATTGGAATTTAAATGTAGACAGATACTATATCAAGCATATGGTAAATTGTGGCCTGGGGAGGACAGGGGTCGGTTAGCATGCTAACCCCCCTTAGGGGTTAGAAAAATGACACCCCCTAGTATATTAAATACAACTATAATTAATACACAATAATTAATACACACATTAAATACACATTAGGAATTAAATGTACCATATTAATTATGAATTCTCTCACTATTAAATACACATTAGGAATTAAATACACACATTAAATACACATTAGAAATTCTCTCACTATATTTGATTTTTCCTTTTTCAGCAGTCTCCGACCACCAGACTTCCTCTGACCGCCACACTTCTCCGGTGAAAATCCCATCGACAGACTCCCTCCGACCACCTCCAAAAAATATACCACTGCACTGATACGGTGTACCACTGTACTGGTAGATATACCACTGCACTGATACGTTGTACCACTGTACTGGTAGATATATCACTGCACTGATACGTTGTACCACTGTACTGGTAGATATACCACTGCACTGGTAGCGATATCAGTGCACTGGTAGCAATGTCATATCTGAGTATCAGTGCAGTGGTACAAATACCAGTAAAGTGGTAATTAATGTGGTGTATTTAATGCCTACTTTGTATTTAATAACATAACATTTATTATGTTTACTTTCATTAATACTTGTCAATAATTAATGAAAAATTGACCAATTAAAAGGGGTGTCAAAAAACCAACTCCTTAAGGGGTTAGCATGCTAACCCGTCCCGGGAGGACACCCTAATAATAGTAAATACCAAAGAAGAGGAGTTGGGGGAAAAAGCATTAATGGGTCAAGCGTGGATGGCATGCAACTCCATTAATAATAACAATAATAATGACGACGATGATGATACTAATTAAAATTTACTTCCCCCCCCCCCCCCCCCCCCCCCCCCCCCAAACACGATCAATCGATCAATATTACTGAAAGTAACCAATCCTGTGCCCGAAAAAGGATTGATGGGATGTGATGCTAATCTCTTCTTCCAAATCCCTTAATTTTCAGCTAATGACTGGGCCAGAGATAGAGAGAGTATGTTGGCCGGTGGCCGTCAACTTAATGGAAAATGTGGAAACCCTTTGATCTATCTTAACGCCAAACTAATCTGCACATTTTAATACGCCCAAACAAGAGTAATGTACTGATTAAGAAGAAAATCTGTGTGGTTCCCTTGGGTGCTACGTTAAGATAACACCACTTCCTCGAAATTAGTCCCAAATATATTGAAAGTTCAATTAATTAATTCGAAGAAGATGAATGATGGTCATGGAAACTTAACATTCTATTATTGTTGTTTTGTTAGGTATACTGAACATCACTTCCTAATATATAATACATCAGCGGCAACTCAATTAATTTCGGGAAAAGAATATGATACAAAACCTTATCATAAAAACACTACAAAACCTTATCATCCATCATCCATATCATTTATCATCTGATCCAATTAATTCTCACAAAAAAAGCAATAGGGTTAATAGGGGTGTTCAAATAGTTAACATAGTAGTTACCAAACCAAACAAGTCTAAATTCTATTAATCATGAAATATAATATCATAATCAAATCGTCCAAACTAATACCACAACCAAATTAACCAAACTAAAGTTTAATCGGTTTGGTTAATTGGTTAACCAGATTAACCAATATACCATCACATTCTCATTACGTGAGAACATTTTCCGGTTAATGCATCAATTCGTAATTTATATAATGAATTACACATAACAATCAACACATAATTATATTAATCCTTAACATAAATACATATAACTAATACAATTATCTTACATTCAATAGAAATGTTCGACTAAAAAAAATATGTCAATGGTATGAGGTTAATGAATTGTTGTGTTTGTGTGAATTGACTCATTTTGAGGCAATTACAGCTGTCTCGGATGGTGTCAGGGTATTCGAATTGACTCATTTTGTAAATTGAGACGATTGGTTAAATTGTGTCATTTTGTAATTGATCCATCCAAACGACCCCTTAGTCTCTTAACAATTATCATAGGTTGAAAAATACCTTGCTTTCAAGTTTTCATCCAATATAATGTATAAATTTTATCTAGATTAGACGTATGTATGTTGTAGTCTACACTCTACAAATACAAATATACAACATAAAAAAATATTGAATATTGTTCATAAATCTAAAAGGATGAATATTTGGTTGTATTAGATAACAGGAAAACTCACAAGGCAAGATTGTCAGGTTCTATTAGATAAAATAACCCAACAATTGAGAAGCTGGAGGTCTAAGTTGTTGAGCTATGCTGGCAAGATTCAGCTCATAACTACAGTCATATCTAGCACTCTCCAGTATTGACTTAATATTTTCTTGTTGCCTCAGTTTGTTATCAAGAAATTTTAGAGACCCTATAATGAGTATCTATGGGATTCAACTGAGGATGGGGTAAGGAAAAGGGCAGTAATGGCCTGGGATAAGCTGGCAATTCTAAGGAAGAAAGGTGGGCCAAAGATTCAAAATTTCAGTACTTGGAACAAAGCTTGTGTCCTGAGACATATCTGTGGGGTCACTATGGGTAGCCTAGGTCTCCATGTATAGGTTGAAAGTGAAGAATATCTGGGTTATCTCAGCAACTTCTGCTGGAACATGGATTTGGAAGCGTTTTCTAAAATGTAGAGATTTGACTTTTCATTTTATTACTGGGACTAGTCTTAATTCGTTATGGCAGGGAGAGTAGATGATGAAATACTCAATTACTAGGGTATGGAATTTCATTAGACAACAAGTACAAGAGGTCACATGGTGGAAACTTGTATGGGCTAAGGAAGTTACACCTAAGCATGGCTTGATCCTCTGCTTAGCAATGCATAATAGACTAATTACCCAAGATAATAGATTGTTTTCCTAGGGAAACCCAGTGTCAGGATTGTGCTTATTGTGTCATGAAGGAGTAGAAAGTAGGGGCATTTACATGTGAACTGTTCTTGCATTGTGTATGTTTTGCAGCAGAGTTTAAATAGTCACTCCCAACTTGTTACAGGGGTTTGAGAAGGTATTGAGTCATGGTGTGTGTAGAAGTGGAACTCGAAGAACCCAAGGCAAAGATTGTGTCGATTGAGTTGGAGTGATGCTCTTAGCCATGTTTGGCAGGAGATGCGTTCTCGGATGCATGGATCAAAGGTGATTAGAAATCCAAAGGAGTTAGTGAAAGTAATACGGGAAGAGGTCCTCTATCGGGCAAGCGGAGATCCTGCCCTTCGAATAAAGATAGGTAGTTGGTTCGATTAATGTAATGGATATATTGTTTTCCATAGCAGACGATTGTGTACAGGTTTGAGGGGCACATCAGAGTTTTCCTTATAAAGGCTGGATCTTAATACAATTTTTGATTTCGCATAAAAATAAATTGACTAAGTATCTAGTCCAATTACAAATTTAGGCCGATAAAACTTTTTTTATTTGATAACCCAGGGAACCTCAGGCCCACATGTCGTTTGAGCGATAGCGAGGCCTACTAAATCACTGGGGGTACCTGCATACTAACCGGAGCTTTCTGCTACCAGCATCAGGGAGGCTTCGCCTCCGATACCAAGGGTACCGCCGGGAACGCTCAAGTGGCGTCACTGGGAATCGAACTTAGGACCTCCCACATCCATAGCTCAATTGGTCCAGTGGTTTCACCACTAGGCTATGTTACCTTTGGCTTAGGCCGATAAATCTTATTCAACCTTTATTATTAACTATTTGAATTCAGACAAAACGACCAAACAACATTTGACACATTTAAAGGGAAAAAACTAAAAAGAGGAGAATAGTCGGGATGTGATATTTTTTTCGTTTATCTATTTTACTTTTTAGTCAAAATTTTAGCAAGTATAATAATTGATTAACGAGAAATTTTACAATGCTATATAGAATTGGTGTTATAGGTTTTTATTTTTATAGTACAACTTGAAGTTGTACTTTTAACGTTATAGTACAACTTCAGATTGTACCTATAATCTTTTGTACAAATTCTTTTATGGTACAACTTGAACTTGTACATTTATGTGATGGTACAACTTTAAGTTGTACCATAACATAGGGTACAAAATTCTTTATGATACAACCTGAATTTATACAATTAACGTTTTGGTACAACTTCAAGTTGTACATAAAGCACCAATACTTTATAGTACAGTAGAAGTGATGTTGATTAGCTCGTAACAAATTGTTGGCCATTACACGACCATCTATAATCATATCTATATCACTAGCATATATTTTCATACTACTATAATATAATATTCCATGATGTTATAATATAGTATATTTTTATATATTTTATTTTTTAAAATATAATTAAATAGATTTTTTGTGTAAAACTATTTAAAGTCTAAGT